TTACTGTGTCTCAATTCCTTGCTTTCCATATCATGAATTAGTCAGGAAATGTTCCGTTATCTTATTTTAATCCCAGTGAAATCCTTTATAATTGTATTAAAGATGTTGCCACTATCATAACTATATCTGAAACTGTCCAGTTATTGGCCTACATGAATATCTTAAATACACATATACCCTCACCCTAAGTTTTCCCTGTCAAATCTGCTCTACTCTTGCTCACCACTTTTCTCTCTGGGCTTGAAGGAGACATCATAATAACTCTTTGCATTTTTTCCCTCCCTGTGTAATTTCTCCTCTGCCCCTTCCCCTACAGAAACAAATCATCGTGGACCCTCTGGCGTTTAGTGAGGAGCGTTTCCGTCCCTCCCTGGAGGAGCGCCTTGAGAGCATTATCAGTGGTGCTGCCCTCATGGCCGACTCATCTTGCACACGTGATGACCGCAGGGAGCGCATCGTGGCCGAATGTAATTCTGTGCGCCAGGCTCTTCAGGACCTTCTGTCCGAGTATATGGGCAATGTAAGTGTTTCAGTTTTTGATTTTTTCCTTATTCTTGCTATGCCACCATCTTCGACTCTGTAAGCACTTTTTTATTCACATTTAGCCTTTAATGAAAATTTTGACTCAATTGTGTGAACAAAAAAGTCATTTAAGTAATTATAAATGAATTTATGAAAAACCTGACTGAACCCAGTCACGTTTAAATTTTAAATAAAAGACTTCATAATTTTCATCTTACTTTGACATAAATAGAACCATAATATATAGCATCTGATTCCAATTTTCTTTGTACCTGACTCCAGAGTGAGACCAGAAATCTGTGAAGTGCGACAAAATATTTTCCTTGGCTGCACCGGTGCACCAAAGATTTAGCTGGTCTGTCTATGTGTATCTGATCGAGTCATGTCGCTTCCTCATCTCATATCATTTCCGTGGAGTTTACTTTCACCTACACACAGGCCCTGGGCTGGCCCCGCCCCCACTCACTCTCACACTGAAACCAGACAGACACACAGACATTGAAAAGTGATAGGAGAGAAGAGGTGGTGAACGAGGGGCTAAATGTCCCACAGTGGTGTCAAAAAGTGTGAATACAGGGTCTACAAGTCGGACTGCTAATAATTCACTGATTCAGGATCAGAGCAGAAGCAGCAGTTGGTTTTTAGTGTCACTCCTGCTGACCAGTGCTCACTTTAACAATAAACACTAACACATTAGTAAAACAGTTAGACGCGTGCGTGCGTGCGAGAGAGCGAGCGAGAGAGAGAGCGAGAGAGAGAGAGCGAGAGAGAGCGAGAGAGAGTCAGAGAGAGAGAGAGAGAGAGAGAGAGTCAGAGAGAGAGAGAGAGAGAGAGAGAGTCAGAGAGAGTCATTGCTGTGATAATGTCTTATCATCTATGAGCCTGAACTTTGGGTTTTCAGCTGTTCTTGCTGGCATTTAGAGGAAAAGTCATTCACGGCACAGGTTGCTTATTTCATTGGTGAAATGTTAGTGTTCCCTTGTTTGTAATAGATGTCTGACAGATCTCTGTCAGGCAGGTTGTTGTGTATAGAGTCATCACGGGTATTTTATCGGCTTGAGCTTCAAGCGCAGTAATGGAAACGTGATGCCTGGGTGGACACTGGACACACTAATTTTCACCCCTGTTCTGATGCGATTCTGTGATGGCTTGTCGCCTCCATCTGTCTCAGCCACAAATGCCATCCATCTTCATTCAAGCAAGCACCAATATTGTTCAGTTGGCATCAGGTTTGAAGAGACTAAAGTACAAGATACAAAAAAAACAACTGCTATAACATAGTCACTGGCCACCAATGCAGCTTTCTACTATTTACTACCCCTGATTCCATCACATTCATAATGCTGAACATTACAAACCATAAAAACAAATCAGAAAGGCAAACTTAGAAATAGGAAATTAGATCAAATCGCCTTTTTTACCTGTGTATAAACAGCTTGCATTTATGTGCTAGTTTTGCTGTAAAAGTTATCAACACACAGCAGCAGAACACAAGTATCTTAACAATGCAAATTGATTAATAGTTAAATTTTGGACTTTTTGTATTACTTACCATAGTCTAAACAGGTGGCTAATTTTAGCATGCCTTGCTAACATGCCTTACCTCCTCAGCCAAGAGGTAACCTAACAATCTAAATACAGTATTAAATTCAAAATGGAGTTGGTGTTCTTTCTGCACCCAAATGTACACTGTGTCTTCCTGGCCCTTGGCCTAATGCACCATGCAATGTCACTGAAATCTTTTGGAAAAGGTTTTGAGAGATTCTGCAAGTAACTCTTTGGCAGAGATAATAACTGCATAGCAAGGTGGCATTTGATGAATTGCAGTAACTTTACATTTTGGAGCGTGTAGCTTTGTTTAAGTATGACAAAGTAGTACTTTGTAATTCTACAGTTGTAGTTTGCTTCTCTTTGGTTGTCCTTCGGGGCAAGTATTAGATATTAAAAGGTTGGTGAATGCATTATGTTTTTGCTCCATTTTTATCCTTTCCCTCTGTTCCATTGTCTTGTAATCAGCTTTTATAAAATACATTAGACAAAAGAAATAGATTAATGTAGCTGTCTTTGTGTTTGAATGTGTTTTCAATGACTTCAATGATTTGAAAAATCTAGTTCCAAATCATTGCTCACGCTGGTGGATATTGGTAACCTGCTAAGAGTTCTTTTTCATGGCGGACAACTTGACATGTCAGTGACGGGAAAGCTAACATGATAAAAATAATGATGGCTGAATTCTATTGTGCTGCTTCAGTTTCGTGGTCCTGGTATTGTGCACTCTGGCTCACAGTCGTGTCTTTCTAAAACACTTCAGGTGATTAGTGCTATACCTGTGCTTTTCCTGCTTTATTGGTTGTGTGTTTAATATGTTTTCATTGGAAACTTACAAATTGATAGCCAGATGTCGATCCAGCTTACATGTTTGTCTCTCTCTGTATCGTTCTCTCCCTGCCTAGGGATCGCAGCAGTGGTTTGCTTGCTTTGTTGATCCAGAACACTGCCAAGTTTATTTAAGGTTCAGTCCATTCATGCAGTATCTCTGGTTTGTTTCAAAGTTTTCTACTTGACTGAACTCCACCATGTCACTCAGCTTCTCCTTGTATGACCTGAGAACATGGCTCTACAGAGGAGCTATCACCACACTGACAAGAGGACATTACAGAGATTTGGCTTCTCATTTGACCAGATGTAGGAAATGAATGAAGAGCAAAATGTCATTGCCCACCTTGTGCATTTCTTTATTTTCTGGTGCCTTAAAGTGATTGGTTAACTGAAAAATGAAAATTCACTCATTATCTACTCACCACTAAACCAATGGACGTGTTGGTGAGGCACAATTTTGCCCACATATTATTCTTGTTTTTTTAGAAATGGCAGTGCAAGTCATTTTACAGTATGTTTTGCCATCGCAGCATATGGGTTTACACTCACAGCTGATGCTGTTTGATAGACTCCTAACTCATTCACTTTCTCTCTCATTCCTTCTGCTCCTTCATTCCCTAAAGCTACAAGATATCTCTACACCCCCTTCTCCTTGTTTCCTCCTCTCCCTATTTGACTCATAAGAAAAAAATTCTGTCTCATGTTTTTTGACTGACAATTGAAGGATGAAACTTAAAGGGGAAGTTCGGTTTTTTTCAACCTGGTCCTTATTTCCAGCATGTGGTATGTAGATCTACTCACCCATAAAGGTTTGGAGTAACTTAGAGTCCTTCGGACGCTTTCAGATCCACACGCGATCGGCGTATATCCATGCAACGCAAGGGTTCGGGGCATACACAATACAGCCTCTAAATAACGCATTATCTGCCGCGATACTCTTTATTTACTATGAATCGCCAGCACTAGTCCCCTGTGAGTCTCGCTAGCCTCGGAGCTAGCGTTAGCTTAGCAAACCGAGAGCGAGTTGTCTTCCTGTTTAATCAACAAATCGGTTTGCTAAGCTAACTCTAGCTCCGGGGCTGCTCGTTAGCCCGCTGAAGTTAGCTAGCCTTTAACCGGGTGAATGATCCGAGCACCAGGACACAGCTGCTTTCAAAGAATACTGTACTGTAAAGCACCTGATAAGTATTCTGCCATTTTGCGCAAAACTAGCAGCAATAAACTCCGTGTAAACAAACAAAGCTGATCATCAGCTGATCTGCGGCTGCGCGCCTCAGTGACGTCACCCCAGTGAAAGCCCAGGATGTAAACAAAGCAACTCGCTAAGCTAACGCTAGCTCCGAGGCTAGCGAGACTCACAGGGGACTAGTGCTGGCGATTCATAGTAAATAAAGAGTTTCGCGGCAGATAATGCGTTATTTAGAGGCTGTATTGTGGATGCCCCAGTCACTTGCGGTGTATGGATATATGCTGATCGCGTGTGGCTCTAAAAGCGTCCGAAGGAATACAAGTTACTCCAAACCTTTATGGGTGAGTAGATCTACATACCATATGCTGGAAATAAGGGCCAGGTTGAAAAAAACCGAACTTCTCCTTTAAGCTTTTAGAATATTTCACAAACTTTTGTGTAGTCCGTGAAATACTGATTTGCCAACAGTATTTACTTTGATCTGAGCTCACAACATACCCTATCTGACCTATGCAGGCCTACAATGCGTATAATATTAAGAATATTTTAAGTATTTCATGATGAGGAATGTACTTTTGTAGCAAGGCAACCACAAGTCCCAATTTCAAAGAATTTGTTCAGGCATACCAGAGAATAATTAGGCTGAATGTTTTCTCAAAAGAAAAATGTAATTTATTGTCATGGCAGAATTTAGGCTATATCAAGACCATGATTAGAGAAGACCACTGTTCTGAACAGAGAGGAAGCACACACACAAACGCTCACCTTCCCTTGCCTGCTACAGCCTCTCAAAGAACAGTGGATAAATCAAAAAATAGAAAGTCTTGGTGGAATTCTAAAAAATTTGGCTGAATGGAAGAAATGAGAATCTTGCACAATCATTATTTACATGAAATGACAATGTTCAAGTGGTTTCCCCCGATGACATGTTGATTGCATTAATGTGTTGCTATGATTACTGTTTGTTCATTGAATTTCTCAAATAAGCTCAGACAAGAACATTAAGAAGAACATTTTTAACATATAATGCCATTTTCTTGTTGCTCATATAGAATATTTTCTTTAATGGGTTTCTTTAAATAATGTCTTGGTTTTTATAGTAGTAGCTGCAGCGCATTGATTTGAAAAGCTCTGATACCCTTGGGTTAAACTGAATGTGGACTATAAGATGTGGGGAACAGATATGTGGAAAATGTCTAAATATACAGAATGTTTTGTTGTTCGATCACTTTTTCCCTCCTCCAATCCTGAAGTGGAAATGTACATTTGCACAGTGTTGTGATTATCATTTAACAAGACTAGAGCTTGTGCACTCAGCCATTGAAAGGGAAAGGCGAGTGGGGGTAATGTTGCCCCAGCACTGCCACATAGTATGACCTCAATTACTCCATATTGTCATGACAGTTCAGCATGGTGTGTGTTGAGTGTAA